AACACACAAAGATTTTTTTTCCTGCACGACTTTACTTTCCTCAACAATGAGACTACTTTTAGGACACAGAACTCATGTGTGCAAGTGTAGTAAACACATTATGTTCTTATTTCCCCGGCACTCCAAAGTGTGCAAAGCTGAAATCGGGTGCACAAAAGTATTTTGCATGAAATACTTTTTGCACAAAAATCTGGTTTTATTCTGAACAAAAAATGTGTGCGGCTGCCTCTGGGGGCTTGTAAAGAGCATTTGTGACTTTTTATTCAATTTAAAGTGTCTAAAGTAGCAATAAGTTACATTACATTATTATTATTATTTGTAAAATGTTCACCTCTAATTTGAGCTTTTTTCTTTGACTCAGATCTCCAAACCTCTAAAAAATATTTAAATAAAAAAAGCAGGAGTCAGAATTTTTATTTATTTTTTATTTCACAACCATTAGATTTGTTTAAATGTGTCAGGCACTTTTAAAAAAAACACTTTCTGCTATTGCAGAACGTTTCATTGAAGAAATGAAAAAAAAATGTTAAAGCACAAAACTGCAAAAAATCATTTGTCAGTAAAAACTGTAAGTGTCCGATACACAATGTGAAATATTAAATTAAAAAAAAGCCACTAATTCCATGCTTGTAGAAAATATATAAAAACAGTTCTGCCAGTCTTTTTATGAGAGCACACAGAGTTTGGATGTGTGTTTGAGGCCCCTGTAGGCGCTGAGCCCCTCCCTCTTGGGGTCGCTCATCATCCCTCGCACCACCGGGGGACAGTCGCAGCCCCTCCTCTTCTGGGCGCGGTGCAGCAGGATGCGGTACACCCCCGTGACGGGGCTGCGGCTGTGTTTGGTCTGGCTGTCTTGCAGGTGCTCCGCGCTGAAGCCCAGCTCCTCCAGCGTGGCCCTCACCTCCTCCTCCACCTCGTCCTCCATGCTGCCCCGCTCCGAGTCCAGCAGGCTCTGCAGAGCGCTCGACGGCTCCGGGTGCGCCAGGGACCAGGGGAACTCCACGGGGAGGAGCCAATTGCAGCCCAACATCTGGTCCAGGGCGTAGCGCTCGTCGGGGGCCGCCTTCAGGATGCCCTTGATGAGCCTCTGGCAGGGGCCGGGCACCCAGGGCGGCACGGTGTAGGCGCACTCGATGACGCAGCGACGCAGTTTTCCAATGGTGTCGGCGCGGAACGGCATGGTGCCGGTCACCATGAAGAAGAGCACGACCCCCATGGCCCACACGTCCACCGGGGGCCCCAGGTAGCACTCCTCCCTGAACAGCTCCGGGGCGGCGTACGGCGGGGAGCCGCAGAAGGTGTCCAGTGTGTCGCTGCGCTCGGAGATCTGCGTGCTGAACCCAAAGTCTGCCACCTTCACGCAGCCGGTGCTGGTGAGCAGGACGTTCTCCGCCTTCAAGTCGCGGTGGATGATGTTGTGGTTGTGCTGCACGGTGAAACATAATTCAAATGGAT